AGCAAAGAAGCCATGTTCTTGCCATGTAGTACATGGCAAGTGTTTGACTTTGGATAGGTTAAGGGACTTTGGAAATTTTAGCTCCAAAACAGCTATGAAAAGTGAAGCAAGCCAGTTATAAAGATTATTCGGGCCCAGAATAAAATAAAATGCACAGAAAATCAAGAACATCTTAAAAGGTCAGAAATACCTAAGTAATTTCTTTTGAAGAGTTTTTGCTCTGCTGTAGACCATTTGAATGAACTCACAGCCACCAGTGCTTGATGCTGTCTAAATATTAGCTGTTCTCATTACTAGGCTGGACAACTTTTTGGATGCTGGGAAAAATAACAATTTAATCAGTGCTTTTCTTGTCATCATTAAACTGATGCTATTTCATCATGACCTTAGGAACTATGGCTTCTGGTTATTTTCTTCCCAGCTGAGATGAAAAGTGAGAATCCCAATTGCTTTTTACTTTCATCACACAGAGTTCCAAAAACATTATTTGCAGTGGCTATGTTATTGCAACTTGCTTTTCTGGGAAAATTCAGAACAACTGAGGCCTGGTTTCTGCAGATTTTATTGCTATGTACAAATGTATGGACTGTAGTAATCCTGGCTCATGCCCCTATCTCCTTCCCCTGTTCAGTAAGTTTTGCCTTTGCCAAGTGTCCGGCTCTTACACCTCACAGCCCAGGTAACTGTTTAGCTTGTTCTACAGCCCTTCTTTTGACAATAACGTTAATATTCACTTCTACATTGTACCTCTTCAGCAGTTTTCACAAAGTGTTTAATATCCTTTAGACCTTTTCCCCCCTCTGGACAGTTCTTTTTTTTTTTTTTTTTTTTTCAGAAAACAGTAAGTATTTAAATAATTCCAGTTCAAATGATTATGCTCCAAATATTTTTTTCCAAAGGTATTACAAATTAGAAATTCAGTGTAATGAAATAGTTATCTAGGTACAGTGCTTCAGAAAACTAGATTCTTTTTATTACCAAAATAGAAGGCAATGGTTGACAAGAAGCAGTGGTGATTTGCTTTTTCTTTTTTTTTTTTTTAAAAAGCTATATAAAACTGAAATTTACAGAAATGTTTCTGAAGGCGGTGCAAACAGCAACCATTCTTCACTTGCTCTGCAATATGTAGCTTTAAATGGAGTTGTTTTTTTCCACTGCAGCATATTAGGTCCTTACTGGATATTCAGGATATATTATAAAACTCCCTTTCAGCACCAGAAAGAGGAGAAGTGATGTGCGTAGGTGATATTATGTAACCGTTTAGAAGTTCCTCACAATGTTATTATAGTCTATAATCCACTGCAAACTTTCCCGCATGTTTTCTCTTCTTCTAGAGCAAAACACCCCCTTCCTTTCCCCAAGATTTAGAAACAGGCCCTTGGAGTCTCACCCAAGCAGCACACGAGTCTTTGTCGTGTCCTTATACCACTGAATGAATTTTAGCTTTTGTCCTTTGGGCTCGGCAACAGCGCCCAACAGCTGGAGGGCTCCACACTTCCCCCTTGTGCTGCTCAGCCCTGGGCAGAAATCCACGCTGCGAGGAGCCCGCCCGCGCTGTGCGAGTGACCCCTGCAGCCAAGGCGGCGGCGTTACAGAAAGGTCACCGCACGGGACTGTCTCCACTTCCGAACCGGACAGTTTTCGAGGTGCAGCTGCTGTATTTTTCCTCTCTTGAAGATCCACGATGAAATGGATTTTAGCGGGAACTTGAGAAAAGTAATTGTTTTGTAACTAATGTTTTCTTTCAGTATATTCAAAAGTTTGTGTGCTGTTACCAGATAGAGAATTATTAATAATTATTATTAAATAAAACCAGTCTGAGGGTGAACCATCAAAACGCATGACATTGACTGTCAGAGAGCTTTGCAATAGATTGAGAAGTTGGCACGAAGTCTATTTGCTGCAGTTCTGCAATGGTTGTATTTGCAGACTGTTAACAGCACAACCATGGGTTTCAGAAAGGGAAACAAAGAAAATGTTACAAGTTAATTGATACTGATGAGATTACTTAAAAGGATACTTGATTTTAAAATAATCTACTATCATATCAGCAGTGTTTCTCATCACTTATTCTGCTCACTGATTAAAATTTGCCTTCTCATTTAATGATTCTGCACCCGTTGACCGTAAGGTCTCTGTTGTGGTTGTTCAGCGACGCTGCTTTTAGAGATGCTCCGTGCCTATGTGCTTTCTAAGATCTGTCACATACCACAAAACACATTTTGTAACTCAGTAGGACTGAAATATGTGTTAAAGTGTAACAAAGTGATGGTGGTAAAAACATTCAAGCCAGCACAAACAGTGTTGCAACCCAGTAAAACGGTATTGTCTACAGACTGATTTTTAGTCTGTCCTATTAATGACTTGATAAGTACTACCCTATTAAAAAATGAAATAAAATTATGTTTCTTGTTTTTTTAACAAGAAACTTTCTTACAAAGTTTACTGTTTGAGTTATGGAAATATGGATGTTTCCAAAATTCAAAGACTAGGAAAACTAAGTCCCTTTGAGACAATAGGTATCGTTGTGAATTCTCACCAGTAAGAAAGACAGTTTAGGGTGTTGTTCTTTTTAATTCTGGGTTGCATTATCTATGGATATGGATTGGCAGAGCAACTCTTTCTTTTCTATTGGCATAGAGGTGGAGGAATGGTTAGGATTTGCCTCAGCCATTACGACAAGATAATAATGAAGTATTAAGTCTGAAATGTTTGCCTTAAGTTCTTGTCAATTTACCAAGCAAGTGACTTTTGGTAGATATACTTCATCTGCAGTCACTGGAGAGAAGCATAAGGTGATTTGATCAGGTTAAATATCTAACCTACAGATGGGTAAAATCAGGTGGAAAGGTCTCTAGTGTTAATTAATAATAATTATTTTTCTTCTTTAAGAGTGGTTCCTCTGTTTGTTCTATTTTAAAACTCAAAAGCATCAGTAACAGTATGTCAGCTGTTATATTACCTAACCCGACAACAACGGAAGAATTACTAACAGTTAAGAGCTTGTGTGGCCCTGCTGTCCACATCTGTACAACTGACAGGCTGCAGTATCTTAGTGACGGGGAAGGAGGAATCTAAAAGAAGAAACTCAAGAAGGAGGATTCCCTGGCTATCAGAATTTTGCAACTTCTACAATTCTCCTTTCCTGCTTTGTGGAAATCTAAAGGAGAATGAGCAACTGAAAGGCTTTTGCACCTGTATCTGTGATTCTTGTCCTTTTATTTCCTGCAGATGTTAAAAAAAACCCAACCAAACAACTGTTAACAACATCACATGGCAGTCATATTTCTTGACAGGCATTACAGTTTAGGCATTACAGTTTTATTTTTTTGGGTAAGTTTCCTGACCTATTGGCAAGGTTCATGATGTAATTCCTTTGTTAAGCATACTTAGATTGCAACTTGTCTTGTTTTAGAAATCTCAGCTTGAATACGTACCCAATGTACTCGATGTGTTGAGGTACAATTTTTTTTCCCTTTTGTATACAAGAACAGCTGAACACACATGATGGCTCTATAAAGGATCATTTGACCCTGTGAAAATTTCAGTGTCTCAATATTCAGCTTGTCTGAGATCCATTTTCACTGAAGACTCAGATAAGGATCAAAGCAATGCTTTTGTCTTCAACAGGTACAAACACTCAAGATATCGTGTACGAATTAACTTTTTACCTTGGAATGAACATGACTTTTCAAAGCTGTACTTTTTTAACCTTACTGACTTCACAGGAAAAGATATGAAGAAATCTAAAGTACAATGAATGTTACAAGAAAGTGATTGCTGTATTTCTTTAAGGAAATGTTGAGAATTTTAAAATAATTATGTAGTCTTCAGATGTAGCTAAATAATCTTACAGGACATTCTGAATGGGTAACTACCTATTTCATTCTGTCAAACAGGACGTTTTGGACAAAGTTTTCCTTTAAGAATATCAAATACACTCAGCTGACTTAAAACTAAAATATGTTGTGAGAAATTATATAAACTAGAGGTATTATCTACCCCTGTGTCTGTTAAGCAATCATATCAGCATTAAGGCTCAGACCTGTGAAGTGGCAAACACTGTGCAGTGCTGGTTGGCCTTAATTTCTATTAGCTTTAGAGGTAAAGCAAGACAATGGAAAGAATTATGAGATATTCATATTAAAAATAGAAGAAAACATTTGAACTTATGCAACAATTACTTTCATATTTTGTCACTGAACAAAAACAAATGCACATGAATTTCACAACATATTATCAAAAGAAGATTTGAAATTGGAAGAATCCTAACGTTGTTTGGAAATCTTTTATACAAGGGGATATTTGGTTAGATTTAGAAAATTTTGGATTATCTCATAGTGTAGACCCCAAATCCCATTGGTATGAGGCTTGGAGACATTCTCATTAATTGGCAGTAAAAACTGCATCAATTGCCTAATATATGCTCTTCAGGGGGCAAACTGTGAATTTTTTCACACAGAATCACAGAATGTTAGGGATTGGAAGGGACCTCAAAAGATCATCTAATCTAACCCCTCTGTCAAAGCAGGATCACCTAGAGTAGGTCACACAGAAACGTGTCCAGGCGGGTTTTGAACGCCTCCAGAGAAGGAGACTCCACAACCTCTCTGGGCAGCCTGTGTCACCCTCACAGTGAGAAAGTTTTCCTAATATTTTTGTGGAACCTCCTGTGCTCCAGCTTGTATTCGTTGCACCCATCTGCCTAGACTAATGAGGTAACAGTCAGATAGAATGTTTTTAGAGCCAATTCTGTTTTAATTATGCTGTGTGGCTCTTGAATCAACTAGAACTTCATTTCCCAAGCAGTAAACAAAGAAAATACTCTAGACAACTAGAGATATCAGAATTCTTTACTCCATATGCCTATGAACATTACATGATCCACTGTTCTTGTATGACTACCTCTAAGCAGGTTCACTGCGATACCTGTCCTAAGGTATCTTCCATAGACAGAAGATGATGATATGCAGTGACTTAGTTAAAAGGCATACGCTTACCTGACGTCAGGGATTGGGTTGCCGGCAACTCTGCACTCCAGCAATACTTTGTTTCCTTCAGCAACTTCCTGGCTCCGGAGCTTCTGAGTGAATTGAGGTGGTGAAGATTGATTGTCTTCCATGCTGATGAAGGGGTGGCAAAGGACCATTTCACTCTGCATGATGCTGTCCCTTTCAGAAAACTGTTCTCCATTCAGATGAACTCCAGGTAATTTTGCCTCAGGCTCAGTCTCTTGGTGTGGCTTGTCAAACTCCTGGTTCACCAAGGTGCTTTGAGTTTGTTGATTGTTTTTAGGAGACAGATATCCACTGTCTGGAGAAGAAGAGTTCCCGTCAGGACTTCGGCCTCTTGTCTTTGCTGCCTGTCTAAATATAGAAGACAACTCCTCTATGAATGTGGCAGCTTTGTCACACAGCTTGTTCCTGAAAGGAACCTCTTGGGATGTGAATTCGGAACTTGGGCTTGTCTTAGGTGCACCTGCACCATCTTTCTCCAAATGTTTCAGGCTTCTAATGAAGCTAGGGCTAGCAGTTAGCAAAGGTGAAGTGCTTGCTTGCTTCCTGGAAACTGTGACAATACTACCTGCTGCTTGATGTGTGGCAGATTGCTCTTTCTGATTCCTTGGGAGAACATGACTTGCAGGAGATGAAATCAGAGTGCTTTCTTGAGGCCTCTGTGAAGCATCTTTTTCAAGCTGTTTCGTATCCATGAAAGAAGGATTGTCTGAAATGTCAGAAGGAGAGGTGTTGAAAGAATGAATAAAGTCTGGTGCTGCATTCTGATCTTCCTTCATGGAATTGGCAATGGCTTCCCGAGCTATGTCAATGCTCTTACATATCTCCTCCTGGGTCAGGAAGGCAGAAAGTTCATTTGAAAATTCTCCGTTCTGTAGGTCTGATAGAGAATCATAGAAAAAGTCATGGTAGGATGAAGCTTCTGACATATTTTCAGGATATCCCTTTTTGGTGCCTCTCTCTGCACAGTAAGCTTCCTTCAGCATTAAAGACAGAGGCAATGCTTGGCCACAGCTTCTGTCTTGCATCCTAGGAGACACAAATACAATTCCTTACTGAAAAAGTTTCTCAGTAAAAAACCCCCTGTTATATCCTGGTTCTTATAAGCTAAGATGGCACAAAAGATGGCATCCAACAGTGCATGATATTCTGTAAACCTTGATTTCTATTAGAATGGGCCAAGGCTGCAAATTATCTAGGTGGAAATGAGAGCACTTAGGAGTTTTCTCACGTGTCTTCCTCAGAACTACGAAGATGTTCTTTGTCTGCACATTGTCTAGCACAAGCTCAATTCCACTGGACCAATCTGAGTGATTTATTATTTCACATCAATACATTTCTTTTTTTTTTTCTGGTTTTAGGCTTGATTTGAGGAGTATATTTACTTTTCTCCTTCTCATAACACTGCCTTCAGACACTACATCATCAAACTCCAAGAGTAAAGTTTTGTGGTTGAAGTCATTATGAGAATCTACACGAGCGTCTTTGGATTAGAAATTCCAGGTTAGCCTTTCTGTTTATATTGATAAATGTTTACTATTACTTCTTGTGTCTACGTTTTTAACTTGTTACTTTTCCATACAATCTAGTGGCACTTTCCTCAACACTGATAAGTGAAATATCAAACTATCACATGCTAAAAGTAAAACACAGAAGAAATAGATTTTACAACCTATGTATTGTCTTGCACTGTGTAAGTGTATAATGTACATTCTTTACCAGTTTCACAAAGGACAGAAGCATCTATACATCTCCAGTTTTCCCACAAGATTTTAGAATGGTGGTGAGTGTTCGCTGCTTCCGTAAAGCCCGAAGGAAACAAGACAT